GTGTGTGTGTGTGTGTGTGTGCGCGCGTTAGTTTCGAGGGTGTCATGACATGTTACATCCTCACATCATCTCTCGCTTTAACCATGTACACCAGACAGACAGATGGACGATGCGGCTCAGACAGACGGACATTCACATACTTTCACTCCATCAGCAGATTGTAATGATGTTTGTGATGTTTACACCCTCATAAGCACCATCAGTAGTTGGCTGAAGGGAGGAGGAGGGAGGAGGGAGGAAGGGAAAGGGGTCACTGCATATCACCCTGACGTGTGACTGGATGATGAAAGTCTCCAGATGTGTTGTATCTTACGGTCTATACAGGCGGTGTTGAAGCAGCTCCCCTCCGCTCTGTGCAGACTGACTACAGCGACCCGCTGCAGCCGGCAGCGCTCAGCAGCAGCAGCCTCAGCAGCAGCAGCAGCATCTTCCTTTCTCCTCCGAAAACCCGCCGATCAGGGCTGTCCCGCATCTCTACGTCGTCTGCTCTCAGCCTGCGGGGAGTAAATCAAGATTAGTCACACAGGAACCCCGCGCTCCCCGCGCATCAAACACCTCTCACTGAAAAAACTCCGATGAAGCTACTTAGAGCCGGCTCAGCTATCACACATCTTACAGAATGAAATAGTAACACATTACACCGCGAGTGCCCCTGTAGGTCCATGAACTGGTCCTGGTTGTGAGTGGGACGTGGATCGGACTCACCGGGCTGTAGACTCCGTTTGAAGCGGTGGTCCACAGGCAGCCTGCCCCGTCTGCATACTTTAATTTGGGCTTCAGATGAAGACTGTAGTTATGAATGAAACCACACGCGATTGGACACACCCACCGCCCGCTCCCTACTCACCACGTGACCAGCTCTGACGGTGATGGTGGTGGTGATGGTGGTGATGATGTGAGATGGAGGAGAGAACCTCATTCACAGCAGTTGCTCATGAATGGCAGCTAATGTGAGAGCAATTCAATTCATTCATTCATCGGATTTTTTTAATGTTAGGGGGGGGTATGCTGTCGATCCGGACATGATTCATATTGTAATATGTTCCATGTGCTGTGTTTGAGTCTGCCTCTGTTTCTTTGTTGCGCGACAAATTGCAGAGAGATGGGTGTTGTGGACGTCTTTGTAATCTCACGTTTCACCACCTGGCGGCAGCGTTGCACTGTTGTTTTCAGGTTGAACACACTTTAGGCGGAAGTCCTTCAGTTCTTCATGCAGCTGTTTTTTTTTTTGTTTTTTTTCTTTTTCAAAGTCAGATACAGTCAAGACTCCCTGCTAAATAATAAATAGTTTGAATTATTTTTAGATAATAGAACTTGTCCAAATGAGAGACTTCACTCCATAAGAGTGTGTTGATCCCTTAATATTGTTATCTCCTCAAATGCACACTGTAGAAAGATATGTTATTCAGGACAAACATATCTCTATATATACATCATCAACCTGCAGTCCATAGTGAAATGCCTTGTTGTGTTGTATTTACTTCAAATAAGGTTCTTACGTCCTAATACATGCAACAGTGAAATAAACTCTGTTACTTCAAGATAAACGTTTTTCAAACCCTAGATCCAACTCTAGTGGAGCTGACATTGTCTTAACATACAGAATCATACTAATATAATGTAACAGATTGACTGATGCACCTGCATTTTGGGCATAGGTTTAGCCCTCTTTGATAATTTGAGTTTAGTTATTTAATTGGACTCACGACAAATGCAGCTAAAGGCATTCAGTATGACCAAGATGACCCACCAACAGCATTTGTAATTTGATACGTTGTGTGTTTACTATCCCCTGTGGCTTCTTGCACCACGAAGATTCTCTACACTATTTGCACTCACACTCCAATCCAAAAAGGCTTCTTGCAACCATCCCCTCTGCAGTCTACATTCTTGAGTCATGTAGAAATGAAGGAGTTGCACAAATGCAAGATGTGTTCGCTGTAAAGGGGCAGGAGGTCTAATCTGCGCCTGAGTGATAACAAGCTGGAGGACGATATCTGAGTTAGTTGGAACCCATTTCATGTTTCTGCGTAAAGACTTTCCCAAAAAGTAGAGCAGCTGCTTGAGTGACAGAAATAAAGGCCCACACTGACTACTTTGATTCCACTGAGGGAATCAGCTCAGGGCCAACTAAATGACCTACATGTATTGACTCACTGGAGTTAACCCACAGAGTGAAGTCTGTTGGGGGAGTGAGGTGTCACATTTTTGGGACAAAGGAGGAAGAGACGCTGTATTCAGGAATGTGACCACATGTCCTAAACTTTAATGGCCTCTCGTGTCTCCTCAAGTTACGAATCTCACATTCCAATACATTTATGGTACATTTTGAAAGCTCCTGCAGTCTCTTTTCCGCATGCTAAACTCGGTCTACTTTACTCTTCTATCATCTGAAACATAAACACAACATATGTTTTCAAGGACTTGGGACTTGATCATGCACTTTAGAAGAACAAACAATGTTGCTGTGGGCCCAGTCCCTGAGAACATCTGTCGCTTTTAGACCTCTACATGTAATTAATACATGCATTATGAATGTTTATTATTAGTGTAATACTTTACATATATAGAAGAAAAGTGGAGCTTTCTCCACTGATTACAAAACTCCAGTACTCTTTCAAAGCAATTTATTGGCTAGAATTGCATACTAAATATAATGAAACATCAAAAATGGAGACATTTCAGTCTAAACAAGCAGACTCCTAAGGTGCTTGGTGACATCGGGGTACCCCTCAGGGTTTCTGGCTCGGCGTATTGGGAACATTGGTCCGTACACTTATACCAATAGAAATAAGCATTAGATAAATAAATACATTGTTTTTGAGGTCTGTTGTGCTTCACATGATGGCTGAGTTAAAGACAATGACTAGAACATTTCATTTGAAGCAATACATTCAGATTCATATAAATAGGTGCTCTCCTCTATCTGTTGTTTCTGCATTTTCAGACAACGCGACCGCCATTTGATGATTTTCTCTATCAGTCTATCACTGATATTTGTTGTTGAAATATCCAGGGGTGATTCCATACAAATATTTTTATCTCTGAAATGCCATGAACTGTAATGTGTGCCATACCAGAGGATTGAAACGTCTGGGAAATGATGCGTGTAGGGGCTGTGTAGGGGGGAGTGTGTGTGTGTGTGTGTGTGTGTGTGTGTGTGTGTGTGTGTGTGTGTCGGTTGACGTCACAGTGCATCTGTGCATGCTCTGGAGAGCAGGACATCCTGTGGAATTGTTCTCAGCAAGGCCCGAAGAATGTAAAGCAGCAACCTCTCCCTTCTCACTCGTCTTTGTGAAACGTTGGATTGGCCCGCTGCCATAGAAACGTTGGGGGAGGATTAGGGGTGGGGGAGGCTCGGGGAGGGAGACGAGATCTCCATCAGAATCTCAGTGGGACATCGTGTTTATCAAGTCAATGTAAAGGAGAAAATACTAAGAGATTAGGGTGGGATTCCTTTTCAATTCCTGTGAAATTCAACAAAGATTTAGATGAAGTTATGGTTTTAAATGCTATTTTACGGTGTGTGTGTGTGTGTGGGGGGGGGGCTCTCATGTTCCTAGATATTAGAGAAGGGAACAAATAGAGATGAAAATAGTGTACAGCTATGCAAAGCAAAACAGAACAGAAAAGGAGGTGGATAGCTGCGGTTTTTCTCACACACTGCACAGACAGAAAAAGACATCGGGAGGCAAACATGTCTGCATTTCAGAGAGGAGTGTGTGGGGGTGAGTTGAGGGAGGGAGGTGATATGGATGTGGAGTGACGCAGGCCGTATAAAGCGGGGGAGTTGTGGGTGCAGCTATTTTTAGCCACTGTGTGGAAACACATATTAGCTGCATTTCTCTGCCCTATCCCGGTTTCCTACGTCACTTTACTCCAAGCCGGTCCCCTCTCGACCGTGAGTCATGTGACAGGTGCAGACCAGAGGACATGCTGGGGACCAGAGGTGGGACACGAATACCAAACAGGAGAGGGAGGGGAAAAAAGACTGCAGAGAACAAAGGGTGGATACTCTCTGTGAGCGTCTCCCCCCACCCGCTGAACAGCGAGATTATACTGCATCCACAGATGCGCATGTAGGGTGTTTCTCTGCCTTCAGCTCAGTGCATGCTGGGACAGGCTTCAGCACCCATGTGAACCGGTAATGGAAAAAAAGGAGGAATAATAGCATATAAATATATATAATTAAGAATAATAATATAT